ACCTGTGTATTTCTTTCTTTTGAAAGAATTTTCACTTACTACTTTACCAGTACCTCATGTCTTTTCTGTTACAGCAGGTGAAAACTGAAGTAGTAATTTCAGTGCCCCTAGAACTGATGCATCTTTCTTTACAGCTCTCAATCTATAAAATAAATAATTTTAAAAATAGTCTTCTGAATATTTATTATATGCCATAAAGATACAAAAAGGGGAGAAGTCTATTGCTTCCCCCCTTGCAGATCACTTTTAGTATATTATTCCTCTTTAAGAAGCTGCTAGACGGCTGTCCAGAGGTAATCGAGTTTTTATTATAAACATGGAACCTCTCTCCCCTCCCACCCCCAATGGGAAAAACATGTCCTGGGTATTCCAGTAGGATCATTTTAAGGATTGTAGCTCAGTGATAGAGCTTCTAGTTTCATGCTGCCTACACTGGGGGCCTTTGATAAGAGCCACACCTGCTTTGGCATCACTGACTTCAGCTGCACAAAACAGGAGCCCTAAAATAACCTGGGCGTTTCCTGTGCTGACACTAACCTGCTCTGGAAGAGGTCTCTGACTCATTGGGGGGGTGATTTTTGTTTTTCCTTTAACGCACCTAGCTTAGGCCAAACAAGAGGACAGAAGTTAGGACTCCAGATTCCACCTGTAGTCAGTGGAGAGGTATTTTCGGCAGTAGTTACTTCAGGGCATCTAAAACACTAGTGGGTAATTTGTTACTGGAGTCTCCATTCACTGTTACCAGCAATGGACTGAGACTAACAGTAGCAAGGGGGGAAAAAAAACCAAACCAAGAAAAACTCAGTACTGACATAGCTTCAACATGGCAGTATCTGTTACAGTTTTAGGGTACAATTTTATGTAATTTCTTTGGCAACAAAGGCAGCTTGAAAGGTTTCCTCTGCTGCCTGCTGGTATCCAGCTCTTGCAGAGAGGGCTTTTTCCTGCCTCCCGTAGGTCTCTCCATCCATGTGCTGTAACAGCTTGTGGGACCCTGCAGCAAATCAGATTACTAAAATGACTGGCATTTTGTTGGGAGGTGTTGTTTTGTTGGGTTTTTTTTGTTTAGAAACAACAAAGGTTGTGGAGTGTTTGTTTTTGTTTGCCCAGAACATTTCAAGGATCTGGTTTAGGCTAACCCCACAAACCATGGCACAGCTGGGCAGGAAGAGGAGCAGACTGCAGCGCCGGCATCTATCTGCTTGCGCCTGAAACTCTCTCCAGCTCTGCTGCTAAAGAAAATACAAAAGGACTTCACAAACAGCGTGAACCTTTCTGATAAATAATGACCTGGTTTTGCATACCCAAGTTTCTGGAGTATTGGATAAACCCTGGCAGTAAGTTGAACACGTTCGTTTTGGACTTCAAAAGAAAATGACAGTTTCAGCTGCCGGGTCCCTGAGTTTGCCATGTTGTTTGAAGTACTGGATTAAAAGCCAGGTTTGGAGACTGACTTTTTTTTTTTTTTTTAAAATACATATAACTGCCATTGTATGTAGTCTTGTCTTTTCTTACAACTGTATGAAAACAACCTATGGTGGGGAAAGGTGCAGGAAAAAGCAGCTGGTTTAAAACTTTCACTTTCTCTTGCTTTCTGTGAAGGGTTAGCCATCTCTCTTTTACTCTGTACTTACTCCTGTACCGACCCAGACACGCTTGATTTTTCTTCCATATTAGCATGACGTGGATGAAGCTGCAGAATCCTCTCCCTTGTTCTAGAAAAATGGAGATGAGTTAAAGACTAGAGGAGGAGCACGAGGCCCTTGCAGACCCATCCTTCAATCCATCTCATTCCCAAGCATGGGGAGGACTTCTGATCCCTCTCTGATGCTCTTGCCCTCAGCCGTTGAGCCCAGGCTTGTTAGAAGGCTTTAGTTTTACTGTAATGATTCCTGAAATACAGTTTTGTCACTTCAGTAGTGAGGCTTTTCTTTTTACCCTGAATTATTGTTGAATTTTATTTCTGTTCCTTTCTTGAGGTGCTTGGGGTTTTTTTTCCCCCCCTTTCCTCCTGCAGTCAGATGTACACTGCAAATGGCACAGACAGTGCCTCCTATTGTGGCTCAGGCTCAAGACTTCACATATGTAAAATGTGACTTGCAGCACTTTCTTTGAAGCCTAACCACAGCCAGGGAGCTGTAATTGCAGTCTTTGATTGCGCCGACTTCACTTGTGGATTGGGCTTTGCTAGGGCATGCCTCACTTGGCGAGACTTCAGCTACAGCCCCCCAGTGAAGCCTTAGATGTGGGAAGTCTTCAGTCTCCTTAGCACATGCCTGTGGTTTCTTGAAAAGAATCCTGATTTGACCTGTTTTATATCTGTAAGGCAACACCATCATCATTCGTATTTTTTAGGTATTATTTGGTTTATCAGCAGTAGAAGCAATTTCCAGCATGTAGCCTTAATGTGCAGCTGGGGAAAGGCTGGGTTCTAGATACTGTTTTCAGGATAGCTACTGTGTAATTTGCTGTACTGCAGCATTCGCTTAGAAATAAAAATATTTGGGGCTTCACTGTGCCTGTCCCCTTGCAGAATTACAGTAGTAACTCTCTATTGGAGCAGGAGATAATTAGGCTCTGAGAGGGGCTACGGAAAGGAGACAGGCGCTGCGAAAGCTGCGTTTGGCTTGAGAAAGCAGCAATGGCCGCTGTTTGAAAAAGCTGAGGGCCAGAGCAAGGCCGCGGTCGTTATTTTAACCTCCTGACTTCAAAGACAGCTTGCTGGTAAGGGAAGGGGGGAGGAGGCAGGGAACCATCTCAACAGAAGAGCATTTCATTTCCTTCACTGAAGTAGACATTCCTGGCTGCTAATGGGGAGTAGCTCTGAATCACAGCGCTTGTATCAGACTGCTGTGAACTACTGGCCTGGCGCCTCAAGGCCATTCCTCAACAGGAAGCTGAATGTTTTCATGTAAGACTGAGAGGAAAACCTTCCCAGGAAGAGCAACCTGGACCAAACCTTTGAAAATCCGGGATGAAAAGGCACAAAATAAATATAAAGCTGCAGGGTGCTCTCCCCAGTGTTCCTCTGCTGTTTGCTTGGCCTCTCTTTCGTGCTCCTTGGAAAGGTAGAGCCCTTCGCAGCTCTTTGATCCGCATGTGTTATGGGTAACTGTGCTACTTTATAAAAAAAAAAAAAAAAAGCAGCAGGAAGCTCAGAAGGCTTTTTTTAGTTGGGTCTTGGGCTGGTTTTATGAGGAAATAAGAACTGAATTAGTCAGTACAGACCACCTCTGTTGAAACCACTGGTTTGCCAGTGGACTTTCAGCTGTGCTGTTTAAGAGGCCAGAGTGGCTTTAAATGTCCTTTTGTGGCTACCAGCAGCAGGTGAAAATTATTCATTACGTATCAGGGATGGTGGTATTTGGGTGAGGGGAGAGTGTCCTTCAAATTAAAGCCATACAGGACAGTTTGATATAAATTTGTGCTTGTTCTTTCTACCTTACTTAGTCTGCAGCTGAACTTCTTCAGTGTCCTCAACTTTCCTTTCCACTAAGACAATGGTCATGTGGGTGGCCTCTGATGAGGAGCCAACTTGTTTAGTAAGATTTTGGGGCCTCAGCTTGAGCTCACTAAAGTCAGTTTTGGAGGCTTTCTACCCTGGAGTACATTAGCCCGTGTAACTCCTTATTCAGGAGCTGTACTAAACCAGCACAGGCAAAATGCTTTGCATTGTAATGGCTTACACGGAAGCTGCAGCAGATGGGAGGTGGGTGCCCAGTTATAAATGGCCCTGGTTTAAATACTGCTGCTGTAATATTTGCTGATTAATTCTGCTTGTGGCTCTTACAGGCTCAAGCAGTCTATCTATTATGATTAGTCTAACGTAAGTTTGACTTGTGGTTTAAACCATTTCTTCATAAACTTGTTCTGTCTTGTCTTGCGTGATTCAAGGTGCTGGCAGTGTATCTTCTTTGCGTGACTAAGCATTTTGTGTTTCTTCTGGTGAAAATTCACTCTCCTTCTCCACTGAACTGCATTCCTGTGCTAATTCTGGTCGTTCTCAGAAGGTCTGCTCATTGAACCCTCTACTTGTTTGGCAGCTGAGTAGTACCGGGAGGCCTAGCGTTTAATGTAGATTTTTTGAGATAACCAATAATCCTGAGACCATTACTGGAGAGCATGTGTCCATCTGTGGAAAAACGCCTGACTCATTAGACAATCTTTGGGTGGAGTCCCTGTTATAACCCAGTTGTCTGGGTCAGAAGGGCAGGGGTGATGGTTGAGTTAGCAATTGTGTAAGTCAGCTGATGTAACCCAGAGACCTAATGATGAAGAACTGTTCCTCTGTGGATGAGCAATACCTATAAGCCTTGCACTGTTGGCCTTTTCACATGCTATAAGAACATAAATTCTTCCAAGATCGTAGTGAACTTTACTGCTAGGTAAGAGGCCCATGGCTCTTATGCAACTGGAAGATGTACCCTACCCCACTGAAGAGCAGAACGAATCCTCCCCCGTCATGTGGATGCATGGCAGGGTCAGTGTTCACACAAGCCTCACCCACCACGTTCCTCTACCCAGCTGCTTACAGAAGACAGCATTTCTTTGTTTCTGCAGGGAGTAGAGCTCAAGGCTCTGAAGTAACAGTTTAATTGACCTCAACTACTGTAGTACTAGAGCCTGAGGATGTCTAGTTTTGTAACAGATATCTGGGTCAAATATTGTCGATAAATTAAATCCACTACAAAAGGGAATTACTTCTGTAATATGTTGAATGTCTAAATAGCTTAAAACCCCACCTTTCTAGTTGGTGTGGACTTCTATTTACAATCCAAAGTACTCTTCATAAATATTCTTGCAAACTTCAAGCAAGAGCAAATAGCAATACTCTGCACTTAACTTTGACATTGCAAAGGACACATTCCACTAATACAGTTGTGTCATAGAGTTACAGTGACCCATCACCAGCTTCTCTGAAGGATTTAAAAAAAAAAAAAGAAAAAAGCTTCATATAGTCTTTATCACTCTCTCTCTCTCTCTCTGTCCCCTCTCTGTAGGTGGGAAAAGAAATGCTTTCTCAACTTGCAAAGCAAAGGCGGCGACACCAGGACCCCTTCTGGAGATGGAAGCTTGTTAAACCCTAGGTGTGTCCTTCATCCACACAGACCACCCTCAAGGAGTCTGTCTAGGATGTCATTCACCCTGATGTCACTGCTAGAGACACTGAATCATAAAGACAATCACTGCCAAAATCCTCACTATCACAAGGTCCAGCCCCGATATAAATAGAGCAAATGAGCTCCTGGGTCAGCAGAGCAGCTTTTGTCTTTACTCCACCTCTGCCTTGCACTCTTAAGCCCCCGTCTCATCTGTGTCCGTATCGAGTCAGCAAACAAAGTAGCGTGGCTGTCTCTGCCTGCTTCAGCCAACAGACTAACGTAGACCACAGCTGCCCCATACAGCACATCGAGGAATGGAATTTGCCTGGACCAGGATGACACACTCAACCTTCTTTTTATTTAATGGTGCGACAGGATCAATTTTGGTTTTAGCTTTTTTAAGAAACTTGAATGCTTTTATATTTTAACTTTTAGTTTGTAATTTCTTTGGTGTATATTTTACTAGGTATGAGCTTTTAAACAAGCGTCAGAAATCTGAAATACTTTTTAAATAAAAGGGGTTTTTCTTTTTTTTTTTGTTTTCTGCCAGAGGAAAAACCTGTATGGAATAAAGGTGGCTTTTTTGTTAAACTATTTGTAACAAATAGTGGCCTCTCAGTCTATATAATACAGTGTCCTATAGAACTAAATAAATGTAACAACAGTCAGCTGGTCAGTAGACACGTCAGTCTTGCATCATCTACTCTGTAAACATAAGCAATACATCCAGCAAATCTGACTGCAGTGAGTTCTCCTTCTCACCCATTCCCCTTCTCCTTGTAAAAAGCCCAGCACTTGAATTATTACTTCAATTGTTCTGTATTTGTATCTGTTTTTGTTAGCCTGTTAGTGGGATTTTATGCCAGTTGTTGAAATGAGCATTGATGTACCCATTTTTTAAAATAGTAAGGCACAGCCTTTGCCAAAAATACTGTCAACTGATTTTATTTTTTTTGTCATTCCAGTTTGAGTTAATGTGCTGAGCATTTGTTTTTTAATAAAAGCTTTGTAATAAAACTAAAGTCAATTGTCTGGCTTAAAAAAAAATTAGAATGGCTCACGCTTGATGGAGTAGAGTCCCTCAAAGGTAGAAGCAAGCCCAGGAAGGCACAGTCACTTCTAAGGCTGCAGACTTGCAGCTCAGTCTTCCCTTGTAGGAAATGCAATGTGTCTGTTCGGCTGTTTGCTCACCTGAAGTAAAGTCACTTTGGAAGATTACTTTCTTTTTCTTCCTAAAGAGAGCAGAAGTCTCTTGTCTTGTTTTCATACCAGGAGTAAGGAGTGGGCGGTGCTCCCTTATGCTTCTCAGTTAGATTTGGCCCAAGTGGAAGTACCAGGGCCTGTGACCCCTCCCTCTGTCTTCAGTTTCCTACTGAAATCTTAGCAAACGCAGCAGTGGTTTTAAGCTGATGATTAGGAATATGGATTCCCTTCTTTCTGGATGCAGTCCATGCCCAGACAAGGGGTAGGAGACTACAGTTAAACTTCTTATAGCTGTATAAATTATCCCGCAGTCAGGGACTGGAGCTGGCTGCAGAATCAGCTGCGGAGGGCCTGGTTTCATGGTGTCAGATCCAGAGAGCCGGCATGGCCTGCCTACTGCCAATGGTGCCCATGAGACGTTCCTGCAATAGCAAGCAGCTCCTCTGCATGCTTCAAAACTAAAAACACAGGCATTTTGAGTCTTTCAAGCCCCAAACACTAGCAGCAACTTCTCTGACACCTTTCCCCTTTTGTTTAGGGACTGGTATTCCACAGCTTTGAAAAACAGACGCAGCTGCCTGACTTCTACTAAAAGACTTCAAAAGGAAAAAAAACACTGTAGCCATAGATAAACTATTCCAATGGTTTGTAAGCACCACTGCAAAGGAAATATTATGGACTGTACATTGAATCAGCATACCTTGTATTCTAGCTCCTGAATCTTGTTTGGTGTGAGACTGGACTGAGTCAAGCTTGAGCTACAAGAAATTACATAGGTGAGTTACTGCCTAAGGAAGCTTTGCGATTCGATTGTTTATAAACCGACCCTTAAACTCTGTTGCATAAGAAATTTCATAATTAAAAATGTTATAAAACAGCTTCCTCTTAAACCAGCATGCACTGCACACAAACCCAATTGTAAGAATGTAACCAGCATATTAGTCCTTGCAGTGTTTATTTCTAGCAACTAGTGATTACGTTAAAAAAAGCAAAACAATTGACCAGGCAAGGGAACGCTCTCAGATGGCAGAAGAAAAGACCTCTGAGAGAACGGCAACTGTATACTGGAGTTTTGCAAGACTTGGCTACGTTTCCATTCCAGCCAATTATCCCAGCCTTTGCTGGAAACCTGTCTGGTTTTTGGTTTAGGGTTTGGTTTTGGTTTTTTGTTTTTGTTTTTACAGGGAAAAAAGCAAGTACTTTAGTGCAGTAATTGTTCTAAATCAAGGATTACTGCAGCGAGTTCTCTAAATTACATGTTCCAAAGATAACAGTTCTTTTTAAAACTTTTTAAAATGCAACTACTTTATTTAGGTTTATTTAGGTTTTTTAATGGCTATTTAAAAAGCCACTCGCCCATTTTGCAAAAAAATTGTTCCCAATAGAGGTGTTAGCCTTATGTAGCACGTTGTCCCAAATACACTACGTAGTGAACAGTTGCCTGTCTTAAGGACGAAAGGTCTTTCAGTTTTAATAGTGAAGGAGAAAAAGAATTCAGTAGCTAAAAATAACATCTCTGCTGTTAACATACAGTGAGCAAGGACCATGTGTTGGGCTCATTCATAGATCAAAGACCTTTCACATATAGCAACTATGGGAAAGGTTAACTAATATGCAAGGCTTAGGATGCTCCCATGAGAGCACCTGAAACAGAGTAACAGCGCTATCCTGGAATACCCTCTGTGACTTGGGTCGGTGTCCGCTCCTGCCCCCCACTGCTGATCAGCATTTGTTCCTGTGGCACTGAAAGACCAAATTGACCTGGGCCCTCACTGTACTGCACCAGCTTGTCAGTGGAGATGGATGAGCTAGTAAAAATGGCCTAGTGATGATGGTGTTACCCTGGCAGTAAGACTAGGTTTAAATCCTTGCCATACCGAATAAATTATTCCACGTGAGACTCAAAAACAACACCTAAATTCCTGATGTGCAATTAAGGCAGAAGTCAGTATCTAACCATGTCTCTTGGGTGCCTGAGGAGATGATTACCCTGCATTTCCCACAGAAAATGTCTTTAAGGATTTAAACGCTCCTACCTAATGGCTGAGTTAATTACCCAGATGCTTCTGTACAAGCATTCATAAACCCACTCTCTCCCTCCATACTTCATTCCATGCATGCGCCAAAACCAGTTCTGCACAGATCACGGTACAGGTAGTCCCATACATAAACACAGGAGATATCCTAGTAGCTAGGAAACACACGTCCTTCCCCCTCCCTCTCCCCGAAGAGACAGCAAAGGGCAAAGACACAGAACAGGGCAGTTGAGCCAGGATTATTTACAGCTAATCAGGCCTACATCACAGGATGCTCTGGCTCCTCAGGCTTCTGGATCACCTGGACCAGAGCCACTTCCCCTCCGTTACATAAAAGAACAATGCCCCAGGCCAACTTTGGCTTCTCACACAGCAAGTGATGACAGATTCACTAGTTGTGCTTATAGGCACTCGCCAGCTCTAGAGAATTATCTTCTGTTGTAGTTTCCGCTTTGGATTAGCCAACAGAAAAGGCGGTAAGTAAGTTGTACAAGTGATAGCTCGATGGTTAGGTCAATTTGCAGCAAATGTGGGACCTTAAGGATCCAATCTGTGCTGCAGGCTGTAGGACAGCAGAATCCAGAGCATCAGTCATCTGCACCCCTTTGAAACCACAACAGTGCACAAGGCTTTGAAGCAACCGTTCGGTTTCCTGGTGGCCTCCTGCTCTGATCTACATGGCGGCTAATTAGGCTAAAGCAAGACAGGCAGAAAATGAAGGACACTGCAGAGACTAAGAAATGCTCAGTAACCTCTCCAATAACGTAACTGCAGTTTGTTCCCTTGCATTCACAAGGGGGCTAACATGCCAGGCAGGCTCCCCTCCAGCATAAGGACCTAATACAAAGTAGAACATTATGGGGGGAAAGAAGCGACTCCACAAATAGCCAGAAGCCTGTCAGCTATGAACACATTTCTCCTAAGTTGGGTCAGTGACAAAACTACTGGGCTAAGAAGGAAGTTAGCCAAAAGGAGAGCAGCTGTAACAGGAAAATGGCCTGCTGTAAACACAGACATTCTGAGATGAGGCCAAAAACCTAGAAAGTGTGCCTGAACACATTCATTTTTCCACATGACAGGCCAGGAAGAGAAGCTCTGGATTCACGTATGAATTTACCCTGCGAGTCTCCTCACGGATACAAAGATCAGCTTTAGAAAGCAAGCAAACAAACAAGCACCTCCAGCCCCAGGAAAAGGGACACATCTGCCAGAAATACGGGAAATGAACCTAACCACCAGCTTTCAGCCAAGTCAAAGCAAGGACTAAAATTCTGCTCCCCATCCAGGTAAATACTCATACCTTCAGGCCATGGGCTTTAGATGACATCTTCTCTGGCTGGCGCACTCCTCCTGCAACAACCATAACTTCACTAAGCCACAGAAGCAGCGTCTGCTTGGCTGAGATAACAGTCACTGCTTCACTGGTCTGGGATACTAAGGTTTTCTTCCTGTGAATGATTTTCTACAAAACACATTTTGATAAACTCACCCATCCCACCTCTGAGAAACCCAACACATATAAATAAGTGACAGGTTTGTTCATCGCTCTCAGCTATGGAAAACCAACACGAACCAACAGAGCTAGGAGAAAAATTTCCATCTGCCTCATACCAGAAGAGCAACTCACCCAAGAACTGGTCTGTCCTGTTCACTGTGCTGAGAAAAGGTAACTAAATAACGTACTCCACAACTTAATGATGGTCAAGACACTTATTTGGAGAGGCAACTCTCTGAATTTGGACTAATTTCCTACAGCTAAGAAAACTGGCTAAAAAATCCTGCAGGATATTGACTAGACTGAGGTAGGACCATCTCTGCGTCTTCTTTTAGGAGAGGACAAGCCACAGAAACAAGGACTCAGATCTTGACAAAGCAAAATGCTATGTAAGGGTTAGGTTTTCTCAGCACCTGCCTGTGAAAGTGAAGTGCTGAGTAATAAAAGAGGAGGCAGTACACACCAGAACATGGCAGTGGCTACACCCCTTGACTGAGACGAAGTTTCAAAGCCTGAGATGGACAAGATTCTTAAAATCTAGTTGCTGCTTTTGCTACCTTGAAATAAGTTTCCTTCTTACTCTTCTCCTGTGAAATGTTTTATTTTGTCATGACTAACGTCATCAGCAACAACCTCTTCCTCTCCATTCAATCCTAAATTAGATAGGCAGTAATCATATTTGCAAACAAACCATGCCTGAGGAATCACAGAATGCCCACTGCTTTTTTCCTGTAAAAACCTACTAGCTCAAACTCTACCCAACTTTTTTTAGTACAATGTCCTGAAAGAATTCACAGTAAA